CCAAGCAAGCTTAAGCTGTTGACAGTTTCAATCTCCTCTCCATCCATCATGACACTGCCTATTGGTCCAGTAGTAAGAATCTTTGTTTTCTTGAGATTGAGATGCAATCCCTACCAGAGGCTCCATTCCTTGATCTTCTGCCCGGTATAATTTCTAGGCTATAATCTTTACAAGAACACGTAGGGATTTCTCACACCAAGCAGTGGGTGAATTCGAACCTCCAACCTTGGAATTTAATGACAAATCATAAGATGTTGATCATCTTTACATATGCTTATTTTCCAGTTGTATCTTTTCTATGGTGAAGTATGTACTTAGATCTTTTGCCCAGTTTTGAATTGGATTATCTGCTTGCTATTGAATTTTAAGGGTTTCTTTGTATAATTTAGATACTAATACTTTATCAGATATGTTTTGCAAATATTTTCTCCTTGTCTGTGGCTTATCTTATTATTCTACGAGTGTCTTTCACAGAATATAAGTTTTTCATTTTAATGTTGTCCTATTTATCACTTTTCTTTCACTTATCATGTTGTTGTTATGTACCATCAACACATAGCTGACCCTCCAGTAAATTTTCAGAGACCATGTTATTAGTATCATATTTTAAAATTCATTACCAAACCCAAGCTCATACTTTCTCCGGCATGTTTTGCATTTTACCAGTCTATTTTTCTTCACAGGGCAAGTTCTGTTCTTGGGTTCTTTTTTTTTCCTTCTCTCTCTCTCTTTCTTACATGTGAATGTCAAATGCCATTTTATCCATTTGTTGAAAAGATAGGCTTTCCCCATTGAATTCTCTTTGTTCCCTTGTCAAAGAGGAGTTGATGTTTGCATCTGTTGATATCTCTGGACTCTCTATGCCCCTGCAATCGGCCAAGGTGTCTAATCCTTCACTCAGATGATTCTGTACTAATTTTTGAAGGTTTACAATAGGTTCTGAAATCACGTAGTGTGCATACTACAACTTTGTTCCTTTTCCATATTGTGATGGCTATTCTGAGTCTTTCTAGTCTTCATATGCACTTTGTGTCAATAACTATAATATCCCTGCTTGGGTTTTGATTGGGAATGAGTTGAATCTATAGGCCACATTGGGAAAAACTGATAAATCAACAACACACGTTTTCCTAGAATCTGTGAATAGGATCTCATTGTGAAAAAGCACAAAGCATTGATGAAAACATCTGTATCTTTTTTGTGGAATTTTGTTTAGAGTGGAAGAACCAAGCTGTTACAACTTTTTACATCTTAACAAGAAGCAGAAATCCCTTTTTCTTGCTCTTTTGTTTTGCGGGAGGGAAAAAAATCTTCTAATCAACTGTTCAAGATTAAATCACAGGAACAGATTTGCGGCCTTGAATAATAATGAGCAAAGACCAAATGAGCTGTGGGAGGATATCAAGATTATCATCATGAAGCATGCAAAAGGTCATTACAAAGACAGAGAAAGAAGACCAAACTGGATGTCAGAAGAGACTCTGAATACTGCACTAGAGTGTCGAAAAGCCAAAGCAAAGGGAAGAAGTTAAGGAGCTGAACAGAAGATTTCAAAGGACAGCTTGGACAACAAAGTATTATAATGAAAAGTGCAAAGAGCTGGAGTTGGAAAATCAAAAGGGACAAATTCACTTGGCATTTCTTAAGCTGAAGGAACTGAAGAACATCAAGCCTTGAAACTCAGGCCTCCAGTTGCAATACATAAGGATGCTGTGAGCAGAACAATCAATGATTCAGGAAGCATCAAAAGAAGATTGAAGAAGTACACAGAGTCATTATACCAAAAAGAATTGGCTTATGGAGAAGAATTTTATGAAACAATATATGATCATGAACCAATGATAATGAAGGAGGGAGTTCAAGCTGCTCTGAATAAACTGGCAAAAAACAAGGCCCAAGAAATGAAGGCATCCCAGTTGACATATTTCAACAAACAGATCCTGCCCTGGAAATGTTCATCAGGTTGTGCCAAAAAATCTGGAGGACAACTACTTACCCAACTGACTGGAAGAGATCCATATTTGTTCCCATTCCAAAATATAGATCTGACAGAGTGTGGAAATTATTGAACAGTATCATTAATATCACACACAAGATCCTGCTGAAGATTATCCAAAAATTACTGGAACAGTACATCCACAGAGAACTGCCAGATGTGCAGGCTGGGTTTAGAAGAAGGTGTGGCATTAGGAACATATAGCCAATGTTAGATGGATCTTAGCTAAAAGTAGAGAGTACCAGAGGAATGTCTATCTGTGCTTCATTGACTGTCCCAAGGTATTTGACTGAATGAATCATAGCAAGTTGTGGCTGACCTTGAAAGGAATGAGAATTCCAGAACACCTGATTGTACTTATGCAAAACCTACACTTGGATTAGGAGACTGTCATCAGAACAGAGCAAGGAAACACCATATGATTCAAAATCAGGGAAGATGTACATCAAGGATGCATCCTATCTCTATATCTTTTCAATCTATTTATAGAACAGATTATCCAGAAGGCTGGACTTTATGAGGAGAAGTGTGGCATCAGGTTTGGAGGAAGACTTATCAATACCCGGTGTTATGCAGATGACACAACCTTTCTTGCTGGATGAGGAAGACCTGAGGTATTTCTTGCAGAAGGTCAAGGACTGCAGCCTTCAATATGGATTGAACCTCAACAACAAGAGAACAAAGGTTCTCACCACTAAGCCAATTGGCAACAACATGATAGACAGAGAAGACATTGAGATTGTTCACAGCTTCAGCTTGCTTGGCTTCACCGTCAACACTCTTGGTACCAGCAGCCAGAAAATCAAAAGACAAATTGCATTAGGAAAACTTGCTGTCAGAGACCTCTGCAGACTACTGAAGAGAAATTATATGAGTCCAGAAACTATGGTATGCCTGATCCAAGTCATGGTTTTTGCAATTACTTTCTGTGCATCAGAGAGCACAGCAATGACTGAGGACAACAGAAGAATTGATGCCTTTGAGCTGTGGTGCTGGAGAAGAGTCTTGAACATACTATGGACTGCTAAGAGAACAAACAAGTTTATCCTGGAGAGAGTGAAACTAGGCTGCTCCTTGCTGGCAAGGATTTTAAAGCTCCATTTCACATACCTTGGTCATGTTGCCAGGAGGGACCAGCCCTTGGAAAAGGATAACATGCTTGAAAGGATGGAGGCACTATTCAGGAGAGGAAGGGGGAAGAGATGGATTTACTCAGTGACTGGAGTAATGCAGGTTGGTGTGTCAGAGACAATAAGATTGGCTCAGGATAGAGCAGGGTTCAGAGCTGTTGTACATAGGGTCACTATGAGTTGTAGGCAACCTGATGGCACATAACAACAACAACAGTCAACTGTTTTCCTGAAAGTATGGCTCTCCGAGGTCCAAGGTCTTGCCACCAGTCCCAACGCTCTAGAAGCTGCCTTGATTTAAGCATCCGCTTAGCACTTCGTTTCTGCTCTGGATTAGAGGGTCTGGCACTTCCTCTGAAGCTCAGCTTTACCTTTAAGAGGAGTTTTCCACAATGAATAGTCCATGCGGTGTAGCTGGCTCCTTTCCCTCATATGTTCTCCCCAGACTGTGGGCTCTGGAAGGACAGGGACCCTGTGGGACTCACAGCTGACTCCCTAGTCTCCAGCACTGGGAATGGCTTATAAATAGTACTAACAGATGTTGGGTTAAAGGGTGAATAAGTGAATGGTGTAAAAAAAACAGTAGCTGGCACATGCAAGAGAACATCTCCTCTCACTCACCTCCCATCAACACTGCTGTGAATCACCAGGACTCTGCACAGTTCACATCACATCTGTGACTTCCAGTGGCTCTCTCTCCTCTCTTCTCTCTCTCTATGGTCTTTGTGCTGGAGAGGGGTTAGGTGCTTTTCCTGTCCATAGTCATGACCTGACCAACCCCTGAGCCCTCCTTCCCAGTCTCCCCTAGTTGCAAGTGACTGGACTAGTATCCCCGGTCTCTCCTGAGATCAGCCCACTGCCTTCTCCTCTGTGTGTCCCCTGGTAGGGAATTCAGACACAAGCCAGGTCTACAGATGGCCGGGCCCAGCATGCTTTCTCCTTAAACCCATCTGCTTCTCACCATCTTCATCTTCTTCCCTCATGTGTCTACCTGCAAAGAGTTCATAGCCCACCCCAGAAGATAAGATGCTGACCAGGTAGCTGGTTCCAGGTATATAGCTGGGAGTGTGAAGAGAGGTGTCTTTGTATGTTTAGCAGGCAGTAAAACTGGAGGGTTGGGATAAGAGTCCTTGTTGTATGTGCCATCGAGTTGGAAGCAAACCATAGCTGACTCTACAGTGGGTATTTAGAAGCAGTAAATTGTGTGGGAGAAGATTATCCATCCTTTTCCTGTGGAGCAACTGTTGGATTTGAACCATGTGCCTTTGGGATTGTAGCACAGCTTCTTACCACTGAGCCATCAGAGCACCCTGCAATCCCAAAGGTACATGGTTCAAATCTACCAGCTTCTCCATGGGAGAAGGATGGACAATCACCTCCTGGGCTCCTCCACTGTCTCCGAAAGGTCAGGTAAAGGTTGATTCCAACTCAATGGTACATATCAACATAAGAGTCCTTAGTGAGACAAGAAGGTGTGCAGGGTGGGCTTATGTGTTCCATGAACCCTACTGTCCATCCTGATGGGACATTGCATGGGTCTGGACTGGGGTTCTGGTGTTTGTGGTGACCTCCCCCAAAGGGGCTTCTTTGAGGCGAAAGAGGGTGGGGCCAGGGGTGCAGTGAGGGGGTTGGATGAAGTAGAACCACTAAATCAGAGTAGTGCTCATCCACACCTGTCCTGGTCGTTCCCAGCAGAGGTGTTCAAGTCCTTATATATTGGTGCCGTGGTTGACCAGCATCCACATCAGGGACACCAAAGGGCTGCAGCCCAGGAGGAAGTCCCAGGCATCCTGGGACTCCGAATGAAGGCAACGCTGATGTCCCAGGAGGCCACAGGTGGATGGTAGGCCAGTGAATCTCCTGTCTCTCCCCAGGGAAGCAGCTGCCACCGTTCACTAGCCTGCTTTGTCTCTCAAAGGACGAGAGGACCAGTGTGGAGCGGAAACCCCGAGGTAGCCTTCCCACCCCATCAGAACAGTGGCCCAAGTTGTAGACTAGAACTCACCTTCTAGTGGGAGGGACCAAGGAGGGAAAGGACATCAGCCAGGGAATACCCACTACCTGGCAGAGTACCCTGGCAAGAGGGCAGAGCCATAAACTCCAGTGGCAGTCTCCGCTCCATCCCAGTCCTCTCGTGGTGGCTGGTGATATTGGTGGGCAGCAGACCAGGCCATCAGTGTGCAGAGGGGGAGCCCAGGGAGGCTTCCTGGAGGTGCTGGTCTCTAACCAGCCTTTCTGGTTGAGTGGGAGAGAGGGCAGAAAGGCCAACTTCAACTCTCAAGAAGCAGCGGGGAGTCAACGGGCCAGAAGTTGGGGAAGGTTTCATTCAAGGTAGTACAGGGGTCAATTAAGGACTTGGGGCTCCAAGCTGGAGCACCAGGAACAATGTGAAGGCTGAGGAGCATGAGGCACAACTGACCCCATCCCTGCCTGTTCCGACCCCACCCACCAGTCCAGCCCCTTTTCTGCTCACACCACTTCCTCCCCACAGCCGTCCAAGAGAATGAAGTCTGTACCAGCCCAGCCTGTGTGATAGCAGGTAAGTCTTCCTACCCTGACCCCACATTGCCTTGACCAGGGACTGTCCACCACCTTGACTGTGACGCAAACAGTGACCTCCGCCCACTAAGCTGTGGTGGGGTAGACTCGGGCTCAGTGCAAGGCCGGAGTGGGCTCTGGCCCCATTTTTTGCGCTCCGCCAGCTCAGACCTCTGAGAGCTACACTGAAGCAACGAGGGGAGCCTGGGCATCTGTGCCAAACTCACAGCCCCAAAGGCCAAATGGATAGCCTGCGCTCTGATCTCAGCTTCCCTGAGGCTATAGGGTTGGGTGTGCACTGCTGAGAAGTAGGCTCTCCTAAGAACAACTCCGAAATTGGCCTTTCTGCCACTGTTGGGGTCACAGAGACCCATGGTGATGCTTTTTCTACAGGGATCACAAACAACTGAGGGCAAGAGAAAGTGGAATGTCAATGGACCTCCAGGTGGAAGGTCCAGGTGTAGGATCTGGGGGAGCATCCAGGTGGAAGGCCTAGGGGAGGGGGGAGGGTCCAGATGGAAGGTGTAGAAGAGGGTCCAGGTAAAAGGTCCAGGGGAGCATCCCAAGTGGAAGGTCTAGGGGAGGGTCCAGGCGAAAGGTGTAGAAGAAGGTCCAAGTGGAAGGTCTAGGGGAGGGTCCAGGTGGAAGGTATAGGGAGAAGGTCCAGGTGGAAAGTCTTGGGGAGGGTCCAGGTGTAAGGTGTAGGAGAAGGTCCGTAGGAGAAGGTCTACGTGGAAGGTCTGGGGGAGGGTCTAGGTCTAGGGGAGGGTCCAGGTGGAAAGTCTAAGGAGGAGGGTCTAGATGAAGGATCCAGGTTGAAAGTCTAGGTAGAAGGTCTAGGGGAGGGTCCAGATGTAGGATCTAGGGGAGGGCTCAGGTGGAATGACTAGGGGAGGATCCGGGCATAGAATCTAGGGGAGGGTCCAGGCATAGAATCTAGGGGAGGGTCCAGGCATAGGATTACAGGAGGCTCAAGGCGTAGGATCTAGGGGAGGCTCCAGGTATAGGACCTAGAGAAGGGTCCAAGTGTAGGTTCGGTTCTAGGGGAGGGTCCAGGTGAAGGAGTCTAGGGAGAGTCTAGGTGAAGTATCCAGGTGGAAGGTCCAGGAAAGGGTCCGCAGGGGAGGTCTGGAAGAGCATATGGTCAGAGTTCACCTGATCATCCCATCTAAGCATGTTCAGCTGGGAGCTTCTCAGCCAGGCTGCTGCCTTACACACTCCAGGGTCCTGAGACAAAATCACCCCCACTACCCTTGCTCATGGTCCAGGGATCACACACACTCACCAGTGGAAGGTGCTGAGAACCAGGCCAAAGCAGAAAGCTGGGAAGTGGTAGCTGAACATTTCCTGTTTGCAAACTTAGCTCTGACGTCACCGAGGCCTCGGCAGGACTGCTGCTGAGGCTCAAGGAGGGCGAGAAAGTTCAAGGTTACACGCTTAGTAAATGGTATCACCAGAACTTGAATCCTAATGGGGTGATCACATGACCCCCCCTAACTTGCTCCCAGTCTCTCTGAAGCTCAGAGGGTAATGAACTTTCCCACAGACACACAGCGGGGTCAACTAGCCAACAATCTATCACCAAGGGCCAAGTAGGAGGACATTCACACATCTGTCTCCTCTCTTCCTCTCCACCTTCTCGGGCAAACAGCTGCCAGGATCCTCCAGAACATGGACTCATCTCAGAATCCATGTGACGATTTCTACCAGTACGCGTGTGGCGGCTGGCTGAAGCACCACGTGATCCCTGAGACCAACTCACGGTACAGCGTCTTCGACATCCTCCGGGACGAGCTGGAGGTCATCCTCAAAGGTGGAGAGTCACCTGGGGAGTGAGGTTGGGTCCCTGCCAGCCCAGGGCCTCGGTGGCCTCCACTTTCTCCTATGTCCAGGGTGAGGGAGACACAGAGGGAGGTGGGTCCCGTAGCTGGAAGGCCCCACAGGGTGCAGAAGCACCTCTGTGCGAGCATGGCAGGGTTGTAGGGACTCCCATTGGCTGTCTCAAACTTCTCTCCAGCAAGCGTTGCCCTTGGCTTCCAGGGATGCTGGAGAATTCCACGTCCAAGGACCGGCCAGCCGTGGAGAAAGCCAAGACCCTGTACCGTTCCTGCATGAATGAAAGTGAGTGAAGGCCAGGGCTGAGCGGGGCAGTGGAGGGTGGCCCAGTCCACCTTCAGGACTCCCAGGATTCAGTACTGCTCAGAACTGCCTTCGCAAGGCCCTGTGCTGTCCCTCTACCTGGTCACTGACTCCGTTAAGGACGTCTGTCAGCATCCTGTGTCACTGCCACACCCGGCCCAGTCCAGGCCACATCTGCTCTGCAGGAGAAAGACACAGCTTCTGGGTTCCTTTGGAAGAATTTGCATTTGCTTCTTTGTGAACTGCCTGGACACTGCTCACCCAGGAACCCCTTCAGGGCCCTGCTTGGAGACTTGCAGGCCCAAGAAGTGGTCATGGGTGCCTGGATATGCTAGTAGAAGATGTGTGTTTCTCCTGCTTAGAGCAGGGCTCAAGGAGCTCTTGTCCCTGAAGGAGGGCAGGTTTATTTCTAATGCGCCTGAGAATGAGACACTCTGGGCCCCCAGTTATATGGGAAAAGATGTCCCACTGAGACTCCCACTTGGTCATCCCAACCTAGTCTTCCCCACTTCCCTATAGACACCACAGTACCCTCCCAGAGCAGGCTGCTACCATGGTGTCTCTATTTCTGATTAATTTTTTAACAATAATAATATCTTTATTGAGCTGATTAATTTTTGACTGAAGTTCTCCTGAGTGTTTTGCTAGACCATGTATGACTGCATTTGAGAACTTAAGTCTGACACCAACTGTAAAGCTGGCCAATCTGCTGGGAACAGATGTGACCAAGGGCTTCCCCCAGCTCTTCCCAAACACTAGTGCTGCAATCGTAGCTCCCTGGTGCTGAAATTCCAATGCTCCAAAGACAAAGTCTGGTTCCATGTCCCTCAGGGGGTTACCGTCACCCTCTCCTCAGGCATGATCGAGAATCGAGACTCCCAACCACTGCAGAACATCTTGAAGAAGCTGGGAGGCTGGCCGGTGACCACAGACAATTGGAATGAGACCATGGGTGAGGCAGCAGCACCATGCCAGCTTCTGGACAGAGGTCTTCAGGAGTAGAAGAGGGTGTTGTGGAGGAGACCCCCCACACACACACCCAGCATCAAGGTGCCCTCTGGCTTAAGCCTGGCTGGCCACCTTCTTCTCGGGGAGTCCCCAGAGGTCCATAGGACTCCGGGAGCAAGGCCAGCTCAAGACATACTGAAAGAGTTGTGCTTAGTGTTGATAGGACGCCCTGGGACGGGGGTGTCCCCTCCCACTCTGCAGGTGGATTCCTTCTAGAACCCTGGGGAGAATTCATCCCCAGGACACAGACATCAGACCCAGGACCTAAGCTCTGCCCTGTGCCCTTGAGCCACAGCAGCTGTGGTGGCAGTCAGCACTCACGCCATCTTGAGGGCTTGCCTGTATCCTGCAGGCTGTTCAGGAAAGTGGCTCCCCTACTTTCCCCCAAACCACTGGGTGCTCTTCCATAACTCAAGCAGGAGCAGAGGTCCCCTAAGCATCATGTTCTGGTACCCACCAATGCTGTCAACCATCTGACGAGGGGCTGGGCTGAGAGACCCCGGTGCATCCTGGCGACTCCCTAGCAGGTGGCACTGACCCCTCAGGTTCCGAGTGGAAGCTGGAGCATCAGCTGGCCGTGCTGAACATGCATTTCAACAAGCGTGTCCTCATAGACCTCTTCATCTGGAATGATGACCAGGACTCGAACAGCTATATCATCTACGTATGCGCCACGTCAGGGACGAAACACCGAGCTGGGGTGGTGTGGGTGGAGAGGGCAGCCCTATCCCGTCCAGCTCAGCTGCTGCTAATGACCCTGGTGTCCTTTTGTCTGTAATTTCAACCACAACGGGAGGAGTGTTCCAGGCACCCATCATGGCTCCAGGGATGAACACCAGGACAGCAGAGCAGAAAGCCCTACCTATGGGAGCTTCCTCTGGTCCCTCTGGCCAGAAGCCAGAGACCACTTGGGGAACATGCTCTCACTCCAGGCCTCTATCAGCCTTAGAGACCCTGCAAGGGGCCCACCTTCCCAACCAGCCCTGATCCTGTACATAGAGTGGGGCTGGGCAACCCTGAGGGCCGGTCCATACCCTACCTCCCACCCCTCTTTCCAGGTGGAAAGGCATCCCCAGCCCCTCCCTGCCCCTCACCCCATGCAGTTCTGGGAGGCCGGGGCCAGGCTCATGGCCTCTGTGTCTCTAGATAGACCAGCCCACCTTGGGCATGCCATCCCGGGAGTACTACTTCAGCAACGGCAGTGGCAAGAAGGTAAGCAGGCCCTGTCCCTGTGCTAGACCACCACTCCCACCCCCAAGTTCCCCTGCCTTCCACCACCACCCCGAAAACCTACCCCGGCCACTCCTAAGACAGACAGCCTAAGCATCTTCTGTGAGTAGGTGGAGCGTGGTACTAAGGGCTGGGCACATGGTTAAACCTTCACCCCTGAGCTCCACCAAAGGGTCATTGCAGAGAACACCCCCATTCCAGGCTGGGTCTCATAGGCCAGGGGATCTACATGGTCACCCCCATCTTAGCTGTACAGAACAGGGGTGGAGCTGCCTGGGCCCTCAGCCTGGGCCCTTGGCCAGTGTGCTTCTGCATCAGGGGAGCACACAGTCACGAGAGGAGAGAGGCAGACAGGAGCTCAGGGAGTAAGCTGCACTGGTAACCAAGAGAGGAGAGAAATAACCAGGCAAGGGGAAAGGGGAGGCCGACAGGGTGAGGGCTTCCGGTATGGGGCAGTGTGGACCACTCAGTCCAATGTGGAGTTAAGGCTAAGGGAGGAGTCAAAAGGAAGAGAACCAAGTACATAATGGTCTACAGTGACACATGAGACGAGGCAGGCAAGCATTGAGAGGCAGCCTGAGTGAACCAGCAAGGATGGGGTCCCTGGCCTGACAGCATGGGCAGTTTGAAATGCCCTCAACCCACACTGTGAGCCCTGATACCAAGACTGACCTGATGAGTGATGACGCAGGTAGCTGGGCAGACCAGCTCAGTCCTTTGGGCCCCTCCCACTCCCTCTGCCCAGGTACGGAATGCTTACCTGCAGTTCATGATCTCCGTGGCCACGTTGCTGAGGATGGACATGAACCTTCCCAAGAATGACACAATGGTGCATAAGGACATGGCAGAAGTTCTGGAGTTGGAAACACAGTTGGCTAATGTGAGCCTGGATGCCCAAGGTCAGCGGGTGGGGCCTTAGAGTCTAGCCCTCTGATGCCCAGATAGGACCTCACACACACGCCCCCTTGTGCAGGCCACCGTCCCCCAAGAGGAAAGGCATGATGTCACCACCCTGTACCACCGGATGAGCCTCGAGGAGCTGCAGAACAAATTTAAGCTGAAGGTGAGGTTTCCTGGAGGAGATGGTACAGCGGCCAGCTCACCCAGCCTCCCCACCTGGGGACTAAGGAGGTCTCTTTCACTGACCCCCTACCTTTCCAGTATTAGGACTGCAGAGCTCTTTCCTTCCTCTCTCAGAACAGCTACTGAGAGAATCCAATCCCAGGAAGCTGCAGCTGTGCTTTCTCGGTCAAGGGTTTGAAACTGCTCTACCCCCTTTTCCGAGAAACAGTTACCTGAGCCCCCAGCCCACTTCACTCTCTTGTACAGAACATCTGTGAGCATCCCCTTTCCCACGTTCCTTGTAAGATATTATAAAACCCCTCTCTTAACTTTTAGTGGGGGCTGGTCTGATTGAGAGCCAGCCTGGCAATTTCTCTTCAAGAAACTGTCTTTCTTGGCCTGAACTGGGTTCTGTCCTTCCTCGGTGACCTTACACCCAGCACAATGTCTTTTTCTAAGGACTGGTTCACCTGACAGCATGCCCAGAGTGTACGAAGTGAAGTTTCACCATCCTTGCCTCTAAGGAGACTTGCTTGTTCTTTCAGCAGCCCATGGGCTATTCACTGACTTTCCACACCACACCTCCAAGACATCAATCCATCCTTCGTCGTCGTCCAATTTTCACATGAATCGAAAGTAATTGAAAAGACCACGGCTTGGATCCGGCACACCTTGGTCTTTAAATGGACACACTTGCTATTTAGAACTTTGGAGAAGTCCCTAACCGCAGATTTCCCCAATGCAGCTTGTCTTTTGATTCCTACCATGGGTGTTGATTGAGGCTCCAAGTAAAACAAAATCATTGACAGCTTCAATATTTTCTCCATCTATCATGATGTTGCCTAGTGGCCTAGTGTTGAGGCTTTTTTTTTTCCTTGGTGTTGAGATGTCCTCCATGTTGAAGTCTTTGATCTTCTGCAGCAAGTATTTCCAGCCCTCTTCACTTTCGACAAGCAAAGTTGTGTCATCTGAATAATACGGGTTGTTGATGAGTCTTTCTCTCTGGTTGTGGTGGTGTTGTACTCAAGTATGCATGGAGTACAAGTCACAGCCTCCCTGTGAACGAAGGATCTGCTCCTCGTCCTATCCTGTGCATCTTCCCTCATCTCTGAGATACTTGAGCCCATCTTGTTGAAGATCTCCTCCCCTTTGGCTGAGCCTCCACCTCTCTAAGCATGATGACTTTTTCCAAGGACTAGATCCTCTTGGAAGGTGCAGTTTAGGCCCTTCTTCCATTGTTGATGGGCTTCTGGCCGAATTCCAGCTCTGGACTTTTCTGAATAATGTGTGTATCTTCTGTAGACATTCTGGCTCATTCTGTAGACAGATCGCTCTTGGCGACCCTGCGTACAACAGCACAAAACACGGCCGATCCTACACCGTCCTCACGTTCTCTGCTGTGTTCACGGTTGCAGCTCCTGTATTAATCCATCTCAGCGTGGTTCTTCCTCTTGTCCACCAACCCTTTGTTTTATCAAGTACGATGTCTAACTCTAGTAACTAGGTCCTTCTGATAATACGCTCAAAATGTGTGAGACCAAGTCTTCCTACCACTGCTTCGAAGGAGCACACAAATCTTTAAAAGCAGGTTTATTCACTTGACAGTCCATAATATAGTCAATATTTTTTCACCCATACCACAATTCAAAGGCATCAGTTCTTCAGACTTCTTTATTCATGGTCCAACCTCCACATGCATATGAGACCATTGAAGATACCATGGCTTGGATCAAGCACATCTCCTTCATCCTCAAAATGGCATTCTTGCCCTGTAACACTTTAAAGAGGTCCTTGTTTGTGCTTTGCAATTGCATTAGTTATCTGATGCTGTTGTATCAGAAAGGGGAGCTCTTGTAGTATAGTTGCTAGGCAGTTAACTGTTAACCCAAATACGGCAGACCTCTGACATTTCTAATTTCTAATTCACCAGCAGCAATACATTGGGCAGGTTATAACAGAGAGATCACAAGTGGATGGTTTTAACAAAGAAAATGTATTTTCTGTCAACAGTTTCTTATTCTATTCAATAAAGAACAAAACAAATTGTTTAAAAAGAAAAAAGAGTTTCTTAGCAGTTAGTAGGCTAGATGTTGTTTTTGATTGCCATTGAGTCGAGCATGACTCATAGTGACCCTATGAACAAAAGGCCCGAAGCCTTTCTATAACTATCGTCATTTATCACCGTTCATACGGTTTCCAGAGGCACGTGGTTTAGGAAGTGGATGCTGCTCCTGCTTAACTCCAAATTCAAGATGCCTGCCCTTGGGGACGATGATGCACTCATAGCAAAAAAGAACATACTTCTATCCTGATGTACAGTACTGTGGGTAATAGAATACTAGCCATATGCTTACCAGGAAAACCTGTTAATATAAATAGTATTCAAATATGCACACTAACCAGTAAAGCCAAAGGTGAGGAAATTGAGGGCTTTTACCAACTTTTGTACACAGATGCATAGGGTCTTCAAAGGCCTGTTATTTCAGAAGGGGATGGCCAATCCTTCTCCTTGTTGTTGTTTTTATGTGCCATCGATTTGAGGGCTCAACTTTAGGACTATATTTGACAGGCAGCATTTTACCCAAAAGGGCTGATGAGAATATGGGGTAGACTCGAGATAGGGCAGGGTTCAGAGCTGTGGTCCATAGGGTTGCTATGAGTTGGAGTTGGCTCAACAGCACGAACAACCACCAGCCAACTTCTTTAGTCTGAAATTGATCTTGTTAGAGATTAAGCTGCAATAGTAATAATAATTGGAAACTGGACAACTAAATTTGGAAATGAAGAAGGAGGACTGTATTGACTTGGTGGCAGAAAATGAAGTTGGGCATCAAATGACTTAATTTGGTTCACTCAGTAATTTATTCAAAAACCTTTTTTAAAAAAATTAAATGGTGATTTCAAGCATGGACCTCACTGACAGACTACACAGGAATCAGACTGACTACATTTATACAAAGACTACAGCCGTCAGTAAGGATTACATCTCAAAATAAAAAAACCAAAAATTCCACACCACTACTCCAATAGGTAACATCGATAGATGGAGAAAAGATTGTTGTTGTTGTTGTTGTTGTTGTTATATGCCGTTGAGTTGCTTGCAACTCATAGTGACCCTATTTACAACAGCCCTAAACTCTGCTCTGTCCTGTGCCAATCGCACTGACTGATACACCCATCCCGATTACCCGAGTCACTGTCTTCCCCTCCTGCACTGTCCCTCCACCCTACCAAGCATGATATCCCCCTCCAAGGACCAGTCCCTCCTTACAACATGTCCAAAGTATGTTAGATGAAGCCTCAGAATCCTTGCCTCCAAGGAGCAGCCCGGTTTAACCCTCTCCAGGTTGACTCTGTCTGCTTTCTTAGCAGTCCATGGTATACTCAGTACTCTTCTCCAGCACCACAACTCAAAGGCATCAATTCTCCTTCTATCCTCCGTAGTCATTGTCCAACTCTCTGATGTGTAACAAGTGATAGCAAAGACCATGGCCTGTATCAGACACACCTTAGTCTCCAGAGATTGAAGTTGTCAATTATTTTATTTTACTTGTATCCACAGTCAACACCCATGGAAACAGTAGCCAAGAAATCAGAAGACATGTTGCATTGGGGAAAATCTGCTGTCAAGGACCTCTCCAAAGTACTAAATAGCAATTATGTCAGTTTAAAGACCAAAGTGTGTCCGATTCAAGCCGTGGTCTTTTCAATCGCTTTCTAGTCATGTGAAAGTAGTACAATGAAGAAGGATGACAGAAGAATAATTAAGACGTTAGAGTGTGATGTTGGAGAAAAGTTCTGAATATCCCATGGACTGCTTAAAGAACAAAGACATCCTTGTCCTTAAAGACAAGGATGGTGAAACTTCATCTTACATACTATGGGCAGGTTGTCAGGACAGACTAGTCTTTGGAAAACAGACATCATGCTGGAAAAGGTGAAAGATCAGAGAAAGAGAAGAAGACCCCCAACAAGGTAGATTGACACGGTGACTATAACAATGACCTCATGCACATAAGGGATCATGAGGATGGCACAGGATAGAACAAGGTTCACATCTGTTGTTCAGAGGGTTGCTCTTAGTTGTAGTTGGACTCCGTGACGCTTAACAACAGCTCTGGCGGGAGGCCTTCTCTCTGTGTTGTTAATTGGAGGAATGTCCTGCAGCATTTGTAGGCCCCAAGTGTCTAGAAGAACTCTGCATGTCTTGGACTTGCCCACTGTCAAAGAACTTCCTCACACAAAACCTAAATCCAAAAAGACTCACTCTACTCCAGAAAATCCTTTCTTGATGATACTGAGGTCTATCTTCATCCCAAACCCACTCAGATTCAGCTCATTTTCCTCTCTCTCCTTTTAGCTCTTACAAGAGAAAAACTCTTCTTTTAAAAAAAAACCTGTTGTTTTAATGAAAATTTATAGAAAACTTGGATTTCCATTGATTCATTCATTGTTGCACAATTTCCTTCCTCCTGCACCAAATGCCAATAGTTATAGAAGGCTTCATGTCTTTTGTTCATAGGGTTGAGTTGTGCTTGACTCAAAGGCAATCAACAACAAGAACAACCCCACCCCTACCCCTGTCCACTTTGCTATACACCTCTTATTCTGGACTGTTGTCATGCAAATATTGCCTAATGGTATATTCCTTTTAAACAATTCTTTCCCTCATCTTTTCCAATGCAGTGTTCATTATTTACCCCCTCTTTTCTTCATTTTCCCCCAATCCCCAGTTTTCAGTCCTGGAAACTAACCTTACATCATATTATGGTTATAACTAGATTAAGGGTTGCAGCAATTCCTCCCTTAATTCCTTTATCAGACTATGAGGAGCCATTAGATAGTTTGCATATTATTATTGTTACTGTTGTTATGTGTCCCAGTTACAATAGCTCTGAACCCTCCCCGTCCTGAGACAGTCTCACTGTCTCTGACACACCTATCTCTATTGCATCAATCCATCTCATCCAGGGTCTTCCTCTCCTGTGCTGTCTCTCCACC